ATTCACAAGTTTATACATAGATAAGTCAAAAGGGATACTTCCACCAAAAAAAATGATATCTCATGAACATTACAGTGCTCATAAAGATAACACTTCGGTAGAGAAAAAGGTTATAAGATATTCTATGCCAGTAAGTATGTTGATGTCAATGATTACGTTTTTTCTAGATTGAGATTGGAATGGAAGCTATCATCCAATATGGATTGGGATTTGAAGGGTTATGTAAGCATCAAAACAAAAAAAAATATTGATTACATCAAGTGTGGTTTGAGATTCCAAGGTTACATAAGTATCAAACACAAATTTTAGAGATTGCTATCAAACACAAATTTTAGAGATTGCTCCAACGTCAACTATGAGCTAAATAAATGCTCACAAAGAAGTGGGCAAAAAAGTTTTCTGTGACAACCCAAAACCAACCATAGAGTGAAGTCAAAGTCGCCAACGTTGGTTGCATACTTATGAATTCAGTCCCCAGGTGCTCCATAGGAAGTGCAACACTAAGCACAATCATAGTAGTACAGGTAACAGATGAGATTATAGTAGGACTAGCTAGAGTGAATTTACCAATATGAATCTTCATCACTAGATTAACAATGAAACTAAAAAATAAAAACTGAAACTTATGAATCCTCGTATCATCTTGTTCACCTACAACAAGTCCCAATGAAAACAACCGTGAAAAGCGATTATAACCAGGAGGAAGATGACCTGAACTTACCGTCGAGAGCACGAGGAGGAGGCGCCGCTCACCCTCCCGCGTCAGCTAACGTGATGGCAAAGGTGTGGGTTCCTGTAGCGCGAGACGCACAAGAGGGGTTAGATGTAGGCTCAAAGCGGCGCGGGGTTACAGGAGACGAGAGCAATGCCGGCATGCACAGCAGAGTTACCCGTGCTTACGAGGTGGGTTTACCCATGAGCACGCGGCGCACCATGGAGGAGGCATGCGATGGCGAGGCTGTAGCCTGCACGCCGGGATTCAGCCGCCATCGCCGCCTACACGCCACGAACCAGCCGCCGCCATGGGCCGCGCGCTAGGAACTAGCCGCCGCCGTGGGCCGCGCGCCAGGAACTAGCCACCGTCGCCGCGGCTGCCCCGGAATCCCTCCGGTGTTGCGGCCCGCGCACCTAGATCCAGCCGCCGCAGCCACCTGCGCGCCGGAATCCCACCGCCACCGCGGCCCGCGCGCAAGGAAGCGCAGATAGCAAATAGCTTACGTTAGGGTTGGGGAGCTCGGTTTCGCGCAACGGGAAAGGGAGGGAAGGCAGGGGCAGACGAACCTGGTGGGTGATTGTCGCGAGATCTCGCTCGTCGCTAGCGCGCGACCAAGGGCCCAGCGAAGCCCCTCGGCACCTGGCGTAGCGTGGGGGCAGCCAGAGAGTGGGAGAGCGCACGGGGGCAGTGTTAGCGGCGCAGCAGATGTCTGGTGGGGGCAAACCTGGTCCTTCGGATCATCAAACGACGCATTTGTAGGGGCGGCTCGTATTACCAGCCGCCCCTACTGTGCCATTTGTAGGGACGGCTGCTGTGCTGGAGCCCGAGCACACCACTATAGGGTCTGCTCCAATGTCAGCCGTCCCTAAAAAAAAGAACCCTGTTGCTACAAACTGTTTTTCACGTAGTGCCAAGTGGCTGTTTACGACTGTGGCCATACGTACGTACGAAGGCCATGCCAGCTAGCTAGCTGCTTGATCGATCGATCGATCTGTGCTGCTCTCGCTTCGACGACAACGACATCATCATAACGTGCCTGGAGGATGCAGCAGATCCAAGCTTGGGACCATGCTCCATGCATGAGGTGTGTTTGCAGTGTCGTCGATTGGCGGAAATCTATCACTACGCGCAAGAGATTGTGTGCTTGCTTGGGCTGGGGATGGGAATCAATCTGAATTCTGTAGGAATCTGGATGGTTTGGAGGAATACTGGAGAAATTTGTGAGAGAAAAACACGGTTCCGGATGAAAAAATTAAGCGAATCAAGTCGGGTTTAAGAGCACGTGAACGGGGCCAATATAATAAGCTTTGATTATATATGTCTAGAGACAAAAGTGATCGAGAACAATGTAAAGCGCACGCCACTATCGGTATTCAGTAGTAGTAGTGGACAAGGGAACTAGATCCTTTGCCTCTTCACAAAGGGTGGTAACAAGGTCAGGGGCATACTTTTGGTACTCGGGATCAGTTCCTTTTATTTTACCTTTGGTTGCAGGTTTATTGCATTGTTCAATATATACAATCGTATTTATTTTAAAGCATACTTGATCCGCTCTAAATTATACCAGGTTTTTCCTAAGTCAGAATTTTCTGACAACTATGTTTTTACCCAAAAAAAAACTCTACCTCCAAAATAATTAAACTTCTATGTAAAAATAACTCAGAGTGTGGGGGGTCGCATTGCGCCCCTCGTACTGATGCCCTAAGTTAAACTCATTTGAGTTTTACTAACTTTATAGTGAATAGTACAACATCTGTAACACCAATATGTACACTATAAATTATATTTCAGCTTGTATCATTACGTACTAGTTTAGATCATAAACGTTGGGCTCATTTCTACAAATTTGGCCAAAATTAAGAAAATGTGACTAAAGAAAACTATATAAGTTAATTTATGTTGGACTCAGGCAGTTTATTAACAAAGTCCGATAAATGCACTGCCAATACATATTTCAGGGAGAAATTAATGAAAATAATTACAACTATGATAAACTTATTATTTGAAGTTAAGAAGTTTGCTTTAAAACAAAAAGTAAAATGATCAACAAGTTGGAGTGGACCGAGCACAACCTCTTATCATCAGCACAAGTCATAAGGGAAAACCTTGAAGTATCTGTCGTTGAAAAAATAAACAAAAAGCCTTCGTAATGTTCCCTTCATTCCAAATTATAAGACGTTTTTTATTTGAAGTTGTTTAGTGTCCTAAGTATGTGTTCTAAGTTTATAGATTTTGAAATAAGAAACCTAGAACACATATTTGGGACACTAAATTCAAATAAAAAACTTTTCAACTACAAATTTTTAGATCGTATTAAGAACTATAACTTTCATATACACCATGTCAACATCCGAGATTGTTGGATAATTTTGAAGTTTAAATTTCAAAATCAGCTCACTTACAACAATATTTTAAGACCCTACATAGTTTCAATTCAAAAAACTTTTCAACTACAAAGTTGTAGATCCTATCGAGGGCTATAATTTTAATATAAAGTTTGTCTTAATCAAGCTCATATGAAAAGGTTACGAATTATTTTTTTAAAAAAAAAGTCAGCGTGCCACATCAGCAAAAAAAATAAAAATAAACAAAAATATAACCAACTGACATGTGGACCCCACATGTAGGAGCCACATCAGCGCGCCACGTCAGCATACAGAGCGAGTTTGAACCCATTTGGACCTGGATAACACCCGAAGCAAAGTTCATGGAACCCAAAATTAGCATTTTGAAAGTAGAGGGACTTAGACGACACCCCTTGCCAACTTAAAGGACCGCCCGTGAATTTTTTTCTTTTTTAAAATACATAGTTTTTATTATGCACTTAGATATATACTATATTTAGATATATGGTAAAAAAAATATTTAGAAAAGCTAAATTGTCTTATAATTTGGGATGGAGGTAGTAGTAATTTCCACTAGGCCCATATGTGAAACAGCGAATGGCCCTATTTGAATTGTACAAGTGCATGATACATGGAATTTTTCCTCGGCTGTAGTGTGTCGAAGGAAGTGAATTGCTCATCTTTGTACCGGTATACATTACATTAGGCTTATAGGTTGAACTTTACCACAAGGTAAACCGAGGATTATTCTACTATTGGGCTCTTTCAAAGAAATTGCAACAGAATTGACTTGCACACACACCATAACTACATTCTGAATCTCGTCAGAGATTAAGCGCTGGCGCAGTTCCCGACCCCCCGGGACACACGGGATAGGATCATGGCTTACTTGCAAACAGGGGCAGAGAGGATGGCGCCATTGACTTGACCACTGGGGAGAGGAGAGGGGCAAAACCGGCATTTCCGCCCGGCAGTTCAAACTCCCCTACCTGCACTGCCGTGCAGGCCACAGCACACACCCCATTAATGGTGCCACTTGACCTATATCCACTATGAACAGCAGATTTAACACACACCCCCCACACACACGCGCATGAAGAAATTAATAAGTTTATACTATAACGGTTTCGTATTTTTCAGGTTGTTTTTTCATATTTTTCAGGTTGTTTTTTTAGTCAGAACAGTATTTTTTTCTCACATCAAATTAACCGAAACAGTGTTTCAGTTTATTTTTTAGCGACGCGAATGGGGCCAATGGTGCCCACTTAACCACCCAGTGCGAGGCTGCGAGCGGCCGGCCGGCCAGAAATGACCAGACCGGATCAAGTTGCGGGGCACTGTGCCGAATAAACCTCCGAGCGAGAGTGAGGCCGCCCGCGCGCTCGGCTCCACAAGGCAAGGGAGGATCATGAGAGACTAGCAGCAAAGCCGGTCGAGATCCCTTCCCTCCTCCGGACTCCACTCCTCCCTCTTCCCGCGCACGCGCAGTTGGTGCGTCGTGTCCGTGGCTGCCTCTGCCTGCCTTTCTTCTTCCTTGGCCTGCTGGCCTAGCTAGCTTCCCCTTCACCCCAAAGGAACCAACCAGTGGTGGTGGTGGCAGCCGCAGGAGCCGAGGACCTGGGCATGAGGAGCCAGGGAATCTAGAGAGAGTGTGGGCGAGGAAAGGAAGGTAGTAGCTAGAGAGAGTTGCTCTTGACAAAAGCGAGAGCGACTGCCGGGGCAGGAGGAGGAGAGGGACCATTTCTTGGTGCCTCCGGTTCCTGGGCTGCGATCATGAGGTCTCGGAGAGGGAGGAGCAGTTGGGCAATGATGAGCCTCCTACAGAGCTGAGACTGAGAGAGAGGGAGAGCCCTGGCCCTGGGGTCGTCGAGAGAGAAAGAGAGAGGAACAACAGAGAGTGATTGGGAAAGAGATTGAGGTGGTAGAGAACGAAGAAGAAGATGAGCTTCAACAAGAGCAGGGGTGGGGGATTGGGTGGAGCAGGAGCAGGAGGAGACGAGCTGGTGCTGCGAGGCTCCATCTCCAAGAAATGGACCTTCCTCCTCTGCCTCGGCAGCTTCTGCATCGGCCTCCTCTTCACTAACAGGTACGTTATGGTTATGCTGCCTGCGCGCCCTGCCTCAATTCCTCCTCCCTGTGGCTCTTGATTTGGTGTTCCAAATCCGTCTCCGCGATTTGTTGTTCTTACTTACAACGATCTAATAACCCATGATCCTACTACTACGCGCAAATTCACTGACAAGTCGACACGAATTCGTGGTTCTTGAGCTTTCGTTGTTTCCCAAACTTGCACACGAATTCGTTGCCTAGTAGGCTCCATCACTCAACTAGTTGGCACAAATTTGAAAGAAACAAAGCCATGGCACGAGCTCCCTTCCCGTCCCACGAGTACGATTCAAGCTCCCTGTCTGTCCAGACTCCAGAGTGTCCACTCTTCTTCTATCTCCTGCCTCGCCCTCCCTGGTCAATGGGGGTACCTCCCTGCAACTATTGCGGCTGCTGTATTTCTGTCGCCCGTATCGTACTCTGTCTCCACTCAACCAAAGCAACAGTAAATCAGGAGGGCCCCGAATGATGGCGGGCGCCCGTGGTGAACGTGGAAATTTCGAGCGCCTGTACTGTACTTTGGCTGGCTGACGGCCGTGACGCGCCTTTATTTGCTGCCCAAAGATTCGGGGTTGCCGCCGTGCTGCGGTTGCATCGCCGGCAGGTAATAAGGTAAGGCGGACGGACCATGTATCCCGTGCGCACTGCGGACTGCGGAAAGGCGAGCGCTACCTGTCGACGCTGGCCCGCCGACAACACAGACACTCACAGCGGCCTCTGCTTTCACCGAGGTTGCTCCGGCCCCGGGCCCACCAGCAGGGGGTGGTAAATCCTTTTTTTTTTTTTGCCTGCACCTTCCTATTTCTATTTCTACTTGTTGATGGTAAAAAAGGAACAGACGGCACAGACCGAAAGGTCTAATCTTGTTGACCATTCCTGCTGATCGATCATCTTTAAGTTGATCCTGCAATTGGTTTTCGCGCTTCCGTTTGTTGAGGAGCTTGCTGTTGAATACAGCAGTATTCTTTGTTCGTCTGTCAGAGGTTTATAATGTACATGGACAGACTGCAACTGCATTCCCCCATAAGCAAACTGTCCGAGTACTCGAATCTTTACCGGGCACCAGACGTTCAGGCTCCTGAAAGTGTGCCATTCTTCAGCAGTTTGAAACAGAGCTGCTAAACACTGATTACGCAAGTGCTAAACGACTGATTGATGCAGGATGTGGACGATGCCGGAGCCGAAAGAGATCATCAGGAGGTCGAGACTCGAGGTGGAAAAGACGAATCTTGTCGCCGGCGACTGCGCTCCCAAAAGTGTATGTACACTGCAGTTTTACTTTCTGTGTTCTGGAGCTGCACTTGTGCTCTGAACCACCATCAACAGGTTTCTAAACTTTCTCCTCGTGGTGCAGATCGATGATGCAAAAGACGTTCCTGGAGAGGTTCCAAGAACTCAAGATGTTATACAGTAAGTACCTAGCCACGGTGCACAATCCAGTTCACTCTTGACAGCAATCAGCAATGCTGTATTTGTTTCTGTTATGGCTTAGTAAACTCTTTTCTGTGATCAATCAGGACACTGGACAAAACAATATCGAACCTCGAAATGGAGCTTGCATCTGCAAAGGCGTCACAGGAATCCATGCTCAATGGTGCCCCGATGTCCGAATCCACAGGGAAATGGAAATACTTCATGGTCATTGGCATAAACACTGCGTTCAGCAGTCGGAAAAGACGAGACTCAGTCCGTGCTACATGGATGCCTCAAGGTTAATTTGCAGGATCTTGTGCTTCCAGTAAACCTCCTGCCTTGTAGTATAATTTCTCTGACCTTTGGTTTCCACAACAGGTGAGAAGAGGAGAAAGATGGAGGAAGAGAAGGGCATTATCATTCGGTTCGTCATCGGTCATAGGTGAGTTTAATTCATGTGGGACATCTTTTTTTCTTGAAATGACGAAGAGAAGGGCATTTTTTTTTCTTCTTCATGCAGTTATGAGCACAGTGACATTTTCTTGAAATGTACTGCTAATAGTTAGTAACTGTACGTTGTCAGCGGACAATGACTTACTGTTACTAATTCAGAAACTTCTGTTTTGTCATAAACTTAGTGCGACTCCTGGCGGCATACTTGATCGAGCAATTGATGCAGAGGACAGGAAACATGAGGACTTCATGAGGCTGGTAAATTTCCGTTGGATTCAGTAGGATGTTAGCTGTCTGTGTATACCCACGTGCTGAACTGAAGTATCCTTGGAATGCATGGTTCCCAATCATTCAGGACCATGTTGAAGGGTACCTGGAACTGGCAGCAAAGACCAAAGCGTACTTCGTCGCAGCTGTGTCCATGTGGGATGCTGAGTACTACATCAAGGTCGACGACGATGTACATGTAAATATAGGTGTGTGCAAAATATTACCCTCTGATCTCACTCTTCAGTGCAGTAGTGTCGTTCCATATTCAGGTCTCGGCAAATACTCTAGTAAACTAACAAGATTTTGCTACACTACAGCAACTCTTGGAAACACGCTAGCAAGACATCGCTCCAAGCCTCGAGCTTACGTTGGCTGCATGAAGTCTGGCCCAGTGCTAGCTCAGAAGTAAGTCTCGTCTCAGTGCTGCCATTAGCTCTGCCTGTTGTTGCAGCAGCAGTATAAAATGTTCTTGTTCTTGTTGTTAGGGGCGTGAGGTACCACGAGCCTGAATACTGGAAATTCGGCGAATGGGGAAACAAATACTTCCGACACGCGACCGGTCAGCTGTACGCCATCTCCAAAGATCTGGCCTCCTACATAGCACTCAATCAGTAAGCAGTTCCACTCTAATATTCCCCTGTTCTTCCTTTCTGTTTTTCTTTTACAAATATAAGAGATGCAAGCCATTGACCATGATGATTGGATGGTGACATTTCAGGCATGTTCTGCACAAATATGCTAATGAGGATGTATCCCTGGGATCCTGGTTCATCGGATTGGACGTCGAACACGTCGATGACCGTCGTCTTTGCTGCGGCACACCACCAGGTATACCTGATGCTTTCCCATCTGTTTATTTAGCATACATACATAGTTGCTTCCTCTACACGAACCAGTTGTTGTCAACATGTGATGTAAGTGGACTTCGAATCGTATGGGTGGTGGTTTGTCCTTTGCATACACATAATGCTTGATCTGTATGGATTATTTGGGGAAACAAGCCGTTCGGGATAGTTGATGGTCAACTTCAGAAAGTAGGCGCGCCATCAGCTGTCATAAGCATGTGCTTGCCAACATTGTTTGTGTTAACCACCTTAGTAAGTAGTCTGTCATGACATGAGACGTCTGAACTTTCCTTTTGAGGGTTACACTTCTGGTATGATTGAATTTGAAGCTGCAAAATGAAGAAACGTTTTACCTTAGAACCGTAGTGGCAAAGACGCATCGTGTCTTGTCTGTTCAAGCGTAAGAGTAGAGCTAGCAGCTGAAATGGTTTTCTGCCTAACATGCACACCGAACTTACAGTCACTTGAATTTGATGGAACAGAGTAACCCTAGTCAGATTTTGTGGTGCATTTGAGCTGATTATGCTTGACAAACTTGTGCAGATTGCGAATGGAAGGCGCAGGCGGGGAACGTGTGCGCTGCGTCGTTCGACTGGAGCTGCAGTGGCATCTGCAAATCTGCTGATCGTATCAAGGAAGTCCATCAGCGCTGCGGTGAGAGTGAGAATGCAATTTGGAATGCAAAGTTTTAAACCCAAGATCGCCCAGCCCAGATAATACAAGGAAAGCACATACATACGTACGTATACAAAAAACATGACTCAACAGTGTGTGGCACCGGAGGCATATGGTGGTTCACTCTGCTTTGCAAGTGCAGAACCAGACTGAAGAGCATGAGATTGTCACACAAGTGTACATGCATTATGGTAGACAGGAGGGGTGGTTTTTTTTTTTTGGGGGGGGGGTGTTTGGCTTAGGAATTGCATTATTGTATGGGGACTTTTCTTTTTTGGTGTTCAAAAAGATCCCCGGTTTTTACTCATAAAGAGAAGATAGGAGAGGATCATGTTGAGGAAGAGAGTGAAAGGAGAGGGAGACAGGGCATCTCCCCCCACCATTCTTGGAAAGATCCTCATTGATGTTACTGGTTGATTTCAAATAACACAATAAATTTCTTCTCCATGTTAGTTCATTTCACTTTATGCACTGAATTCTCAGCGTTTTTTTGGCAACCCATCTCTTTTTAACTCTGGTTCTCGCTTCAAACGTACAACTTTGATCAAATATATAAAAATATATTAATATTTATTGTATATAATTAGTATCATTAGATAGATCGTTAAATCTGAAGTTATAGATATTTCTAATGTTTTCTACAAACCTAGTCAAACGTAAAAGGAAAAGTTTGACTGATATAAACCCCATAATAAGCACTCTAGAAGTGCATTTATTTTTGTCGGAGGGAGTAGAACTTGTGCTTCGTTGTGCGTCTGTTATTTTCCCTTATCAGAAGGAGCAGGAAAGATACGTGCGTCCCTAGGACTTATGCTATAAATGTGGCCCAACTAACGACCTGTTCGGTTGGCTGGTTCGTATCGTTGCTGGTTTATTTATATGAGAGAGAAGTACTGCTGGCTGGTTCATGTCAATAGTATCCATGTGAGGGGGCTGGCCAACCAGCCCAGCCAGCCCCAGCCGATCGGGCTGTAAGTGCCTGGTTGGGAAAGCCCAAAAGCACACAGGCTTGTAGGCCGCTGCCATTTTTATCTTGTGAAGACGACTCATGTTTCCATAGCTTTCATGCTACCGTATGTTCGTCTTCTTTGCTCGAACCCTTGCCGCTCACAACATGTGTCGACGTGCCATGCATCTTGGTGATGTGCACAATCATGCAGGTGTAGTAGGCGCAAGCAGAGGCACTCATGGGCATAGTTCCGCTGCCCATGTGTTTATTAGCTATGAAGACGAGGTAGCGCCCGGCCGTCCGGACCCCACGCCTACAATACTTTTCCCGCATCGTTTCACGTGGGGCCCACACAACCCCGTACATCACTAGCATCGAGAAGAGGGGGACGGGGCGACGGATGCCTAGCCAGCGCCGGGAGCAGGAGGAGACACCAAGCGAGGCAGCAGAAAGCGAGAAAGGAGATGCAACACCCGATCTACTTTTGAAATATTCAGATAATACACTTGCAACATACGTCTAAAGTCAGATGAAATACACGAAGCATGCATATGAAGCACTTGAAAAAATACATAAAAACACTTGAAACTATTGCAAAAACGTACGCAACATGCAGAAAACACTTCCAATATATATGTGAAATATATGCAACAACAAATAAACACACTTACAACATATATCTGGCAAACAGATAAAACATTAGGAACAGAAACTTGCAACATACTATACAACCATTGCAACATATCGATCTACTTTTGCAACATCCAGATGAAAAACTTGTAACATACCTCTGAAACATCTGAATCACTTGGAACATATGCTTGCAACATGCGTTTTCAAACGTAACATCTACTTGCTGTTCGGACAAAAATGGAGACTCGTCGACGCGGAGCTCGACGTCACGGAGTGACACGAAGGTCGTCGGTGTGGAGCTCGGCAGCACGGACCTTAGCCGGGGCCACGACAGGCAGATAACGTCTACGACGGGAGGCGGGCGTCCGAGCAGAGGCACGCATCACGGGCGAGGGCGGGGTCTGTCCTGTGAGCAGGGGCGCAGCACGCAGAGCGACCGGGCGATGTGGGTGGGGGCGGCGCGGGTGAGGGCGGTGTCCGTCCCGCGAGCAAGGAGACGTAGCGCACAGAGCGAGCGAGCGATACTGCCGCGGTCTGTCCGGACCGACGGACGCGAGAATTACCGATGACGATGAAGATATGAGATGTTAGTTGGAGCCACTAAAATCCCTGTACCTTCAATGGAAAGAGAGAGAGGGGTACGCTCGAAGGCAGAATACTAAAAATAAGCTGGTCACGGTGTGATTGCAGGGCTAGTCCGCAGTCATGTTTCATCGGCGGTTGCAGACTTGCAGTGCTAACTAGAGTCTGCAACTAGCGTGGTCGGTTCTCGGTACCGATCGAGCGAGAGAGAAAAACAACTGGCGTGGCTGGTCTGCCCTGATGGGCCAGATGGGGTGGACTGCGGGAAGCTAGGGTTGAGGGAGACACGGCGGCTGCTGCGGAGCTAGGCTGCGGGTGCGGGCCGGGAAGGTGAGGCGTGAACCGAGCTTCAGCAGGCTGGTTGAAAGTTTGCTAAAAAAAATGCAGGCTGGTTGAAAGAGTGGGCCAAAAGGATGTCAGGCTACAAAAAAGGAAAGAAACATCCTTTTCTTTTTTTAAAGAACCTGATAAAATTTTATAAAACCTTTCCCTTTTTTCACTAAACCCCCCTAAATTAACCATTCCAAAATAATTAAATGCATAGGGATGAATGCACCAAACATGTTGTTTACCTATGATTCATTGATGTTGCTTTAGAAAATAATTTTTTCCTCACATCTAAAATTGAAGCTTTCTAAAGAGATTAAAGCAAATTTGATACATTTTGCAAAAAAAAAAAAATCTAAAAATCAAGATAGACGTTACTAAATCAGAAAAATGCTCAGGCAGCACCCAACTAAACCACAACCAATATCACCGACCCTAATGCTCAAACTTACTAAGCAAAGCGTAATCGACTCACCTTATCTTGCTGAAACAAATGGCTATGCATGGTGCAATCGAGAAAAACCTAATAAAGGTCATTTATTAGGAAACCAACATCGTCATTCGACGGTCGAAAAAACAAACTCATTTTCACCCCTTGTAGGGGCGAATCTGAATACACAAGGTGAAAAATAAGACCATATGGAATGCCCTATTGGGACCTTTTGGAACTCAAGCGTCGAGCTCCCGTGCGTTGCTTTCCAGGAACACTAGTGTCGTTGTCACATTGTACGTCATGTCTACTTCCCTTGAACTTGGCGTTGGTATTGCCATCTTCTTCATTTGGTTCCTCCTCTTCATTGTTGTTTTCTCTTGCGGTACGTAGCCTTTCCCGCGGTTAAGATGTGGCAGATCCCAAGTGGACTTACCTCCTGATGAGTATCTAAAACTCTGGGTTACCTAAACCACCGGTAAACGCCATGACGACATATTAACCCCCTAATTGATTCTCCAATCAGTCAGGGATTCAGGGGCTATACCCAGTAGGTGCGCTCGCGTGGTCTCGCAGGATACCAGTCTAAGCACCCTGGGTATACGCGCATGGCTCTCGTTAAGGCAGCATTGCAACTCCACAAACCATTGTGCATCCTCGGGGTCATCCAAAGCCACTTCACCATCCTCGTCATCACCGCCGCATACCATGTCTTTGACAAAATCATCCAACGTAAAAAACATCATTTTCATCGATGCCATGACCGGCTGATGAGGTTCCATCTCCACCACGATCCTCTGTCATGCCAGATCCATGGTCTGTTTGCTGCACTGAAGTTCCTCCGTATGCAGCTAGCTCTCGCATCTCCTTCGTCGTGAAACTTTCAAACTATATAGCCCTAGATGAAACCCCATTGGATCACGTGATATTTTACATCAACACTATCTAGCATCCAGACAATGCTCGTTCTTGCTGCGAGAACATGGGCATATGATTCCCTGCCAATTCGCAGTCAAAGCATGCTTTGGAGCACTATCAATAAACTTCGTCACTTGTGCCACGAAAGAGGGTGCTATCCTTGATATCTTGTACATTCATTCTAACCTTTTCCAACATGGTAATTAAGCTCGTAGCGGGAAAATATATTTTAGACACATCAATATATGGATCATCTTATCATATAATGAGATGGTGCATGGCATAACATGTATATCTTATCTTTCTCTAACACACAAAAATAATACATGAATGACATTATTACATTGATATATGGAGCTATATATACCTTATATTTCTCTCACATAAATAAAAATATACATGCATACAAATAAAACCAACAAGATGATGAACTAGATCTAGTCTCTTCTCTTGCTCCTCCACCATAGATCTAGATTTAGATCACCATAAAACCACTAAAAAATTCAAAACAAGCACAAAAAAGGATATGAGAGAGCATACCAATCTCCTATATATGGCCAACTCCCTCAAAGAAACCAAGAGCAAAACCTCCCCCTTGAAAAATGAACTTTTTCTGAGTTCTAGAGCACTTCACCTTGTCAAAAATAACGGAGAAGCTCGTGGAGGAGGAATATGGGGTGGTTGTGCTGCATTTATAGCATTTAATTAACGGAGACATGCAACATAATGCGGCCACCTCCATTAATCATTAATGGAGATGGTCATCGTAAAGGGACCACCTCCTTAATGGTCCGTTAATGGAGGTGGGCAGCGTAGGATGACTACCTCCATTAATTCTTCCTTCTTAAGCCATCATTTCTGTTAATGGAGCATTTATGGAGGTGATCTTCTAATGAGGCCGCCCACCTCCGATAATCGTTTAATAGAGGCATCCGGTTTAAACAGTCCACCTCCATTGATGGAGGATTAACAGAGACGTTCTGCTTAAGGCGACTGCCTCAGTTAAACGTTAATGGAGGCGCACGCTTCTCCCCCGGTGCCCCCTCTATTAACGGAGGCCGCGTCCTGTTGCGCCCCCCCCCCCTCGATCGGCTAATGTTGGCGGGCCTATCTCTCAAAATCTTTTTAGTAGTAGTGAGGTTCCATCCTATTTGGTATTCTTATTATTCTTCTGCAAC